GTTGGAGCATGATTTTAGGAACACCACCTTGGGGAATGAAGGATGCAGGACAGACAGAGGGAGAAGTCCACGTGTGATGCAGTTGCCTCATAGGACTCAGCTGATCCCAGGGGGAGCTCTGGAGCTCAGACGTCCATTAGAGACGCCCTGTATTGAGACAAGGGGTCCTGGCCTTTGTACCCTTGCACTCGTTGGTGAACAGCTCCCAGGGAGGGGTTGTAACCTTAGATGAGACTATTACTTTCGACTGAGGGCAACTCCTGGGGGATGATGCAACTTAAAGCTGTCAGCAGCAGCATTGACAGCAGTTGGGGGAATAAGAACTTTGGTCCTGAAGGTGAGAACTGGGTGGCACACCACAGCGTCCACTGCAGTGATATATACTCGTATATTTATATGTTAATATACACTTAGACATATATGTATGCATATTAATATACACACATGTATAGACATGCATTCATGTATTTATACTTATAACAATTTAAAAAGTACAAATCAAGTAAATAAAATAACCACGGTGAAATGTGGTATGGTAAATTGGGTGGATTTATTAAAATCATAGGCTATTATCTCTATAGTACAGTTGTTTTCAGGATTGCACCTTAGAGAATATTTTTGAAATCTGAGGGGTGTATTTGGTTGCCACAAAAAGTGGGGATGTTTCAAGTACTTATTGGGTGGAGATCAGCAATGCCACAAATCTCGCAACATGGATTTTAAGCGTCCCACTGGTTATTCATGTAAGTAAAAAACCTGTTTGTAATGATCTTATCCTAGAGCTTAACCCATTTTACAGATACACACGAGGTTTTTGTGCCCATTTGGAGAAGTGCATCCAAATAGCTCTTCCCCAGACCTCCTTGTCATCAACCTTCCAATCCTCTTCTTTCCCAGATCCTGGATCTGCTCCGGTCCAGTGTCTTACACACCATTTCTATTTGATGAGGGGCTGCTCTTGTGCATGGCCAATCTCATGGGTTGGTGGGTCAGATGACATCCAGTTCACAATAGGCAGCTGCGGGTGTGTAGTCACTTGAGGTCTCATGGTTAATTGTTCAAATTCAGTAGCAAGCTAGGTACAGTTTCTCTGATGGAGAACTGTTATCTTCAGCACAGGGCATGGTTTCACTCTAAACTAAGGAAGACTGCATTGTGACTCTTCTTCTAGAGTTTGCCAGAGGCTCTATATACTGTCCCTCTTTGCCACTGGCACTTCAAGTGTCGTTGGATTTCTCTGGATCATAAGGTCTTGTTACTGAGTCTCTTTTTCTTTTCTTTTCTTTTCTTTTCTTTTCTTTTCTTTTCTTTTCTTTTCTTTTCTTTTCTTTTCTTTCTTCCTTCCTTCCTTCCTTTCTCTCTCTCTCTTATTATTACTGATAAAAAATGCCAGCCTTATGGGTTACTGGGTAGATGGGTCAGAGCAACACACTCAGATGTGCTATATATTGCTTCCAAAATCCAAAGAGGCCCAACAAGGATTGTGTCTCATTTTTAGTGGTAGGTGGTACAAGGTGCAGCAATTTGTGTTTGACTTTGGAGAGATATCCTGATGTCTTCTGGATCAGTGGACCTCCAGAAACTTCACTAAGGTGGTGAATTTTCTTGGGGGTAATATCCCACCTGTTAGTTCCCACGTGTCTTATTAAGGCATCTACAGTATTTCCTTCTTGCTTAGGGAACCGAACCTGGGACTCTCTGGTCCGCAGGCTGACTCTCCAACTGCTGAGCCAAACTGGCCAGGGCTCAACTTGCTGTCTTTAATAAAGTGATCAAGATCTCTGCAGACTAGATTATGGCAGAAAGCAGGAGAATTTACATCCCATAGACAAAACTGTAAAGATGTACTTTGCCATATAAAACAGCTTTATGTGCAGATTGGAATAGATAAAAAAGCATTTCCATATGCACAGATGTGTACCAGGTACCTAGGAATGTGTTGATTTGCTGCAGTAAAGTTAGCATTTATAGAACTGCAGTTGAATTGCTTGATCATCTGATTAAGTTTACAGCAAGTCATAGTTATTCTCTAAGCTCCACCTGCCTCTGCATAGGCCAAATAGGTGAGTTACATGGGGGAAGTGACAGTAACTTCACTCCTGTGCCATCCACATCTTTTATGGTGGTGCTAATATCTACATCTCTCTAGGGATGTACTGTTGCTTTTGGTTTTTCATCCTGGTAGCGAGAGGAATTCCAAGAAGCTTCCATTTGGCCCTTCCCACCACAACAGCCTCTATTCTGAGGGTCAGAGAACTAATGGGGATTCTGCCAGTTATTGAGTATGTCTATCCTAATTACACATTCAGGAACTGAGGCAATAACCATAGAGTGGGTCTACAAACCTACTGGATTCACGGTGATTTATACTTGGGTGAAAATGACATTTATCACCTGACTACCTAACTCTCTACTTTGATTCAAGGACCCAGTGATATTTTGGATCCTTGGAAATTAGCATTAATTCAGAAACAATATCTAGTAATCCCTGAAATATCTGGGTATGTATTTCCTTTTTCCAGTGCATGGTCACCCTAGTAAATGACATCATTTACTTCCTTTGGGAAAGGCTTGGATGAAGATTTGTAGTGCATATTTATGGCAATACTGCAAGGTTCTTTCTTAAGGGGACCAGCTTGTCTTTTAATAAAGGGATTGTGTTTGAGAACTGGCTGAGGTATGGAAAATGGATAAGAAGAATGACTTTTCATTTTGATGGCCCAAGTCAGGTTTCAGGCAGAAGAACTACAGTTTTAGCTAAAGATCAAGGGGCTATTTCCAAAGTCTGCCCATTTATTTCATTCCTAGGGCCACCTAGGACATTGCCAAATACCCCTACAGGTCAAGATCTTTGAGTACTACTTTGTGCTGCCCTTGTAGTAAACATGCCCATATTGTCCCTGCCAAAAAATGCTGCCACTTGGTCATTGCCATCCCAGGACCCCATTATCATAGAAATCAGGGAGATATCTCAATGAAAGCATCTCCCACCACCATATCCAGCTGCTATAGAGCTTTTCTGGTACTCCCCTTACTAATGTCTTTTTCAATGCCTTAGTGCAGAGACCATCATCTGGGTCTCTAGGGGTAGTCATTTGAGGTTGGGTATACCGATTGCATATGATAAAAATAACTCCAACAGTCTCATCTCTATGGGCTTTTGGATTTCTTTCTCTATATCATACCAGGAACATTCTGTCATCTTGATCTCATTGAATATAGACAACCACTGAGTCAGAGTTTCATTTAACCAACTAAGAAAACTGCCGGAGTCACTTTTAACACTTGAGCTAACACGTTAAATCCAGACTTTCTGGTAAATGCACCCACGTCAATAAATTTAGCCCAATCCTTTGCCCTTTATTTTGTTTGGAACTTGACCAAGTTCCAGCCTTTCACAAAGACATGTCACCTATGACACCAATGTTGATATTTGAGTTGCTAATACAACACATTTATATTGGTCTGCATTTGTAGTTCTCTAATGCACAATGGTTCTACATAAGGTTCAAGCATCTTACTATTTATTTGGTCTCCTAATAGAGTTGTGCTATAGCATTTACGTATTGAAATGCACATTAATTATAAATTACTTTGATTTTATTTTTCCTTTATTATACAATTAGGACATATGCTGGTTTTTTGAAATTTGCATAGGTAACATTATCCAGGAATTTCATTTCAGTAGAGAAGGAAGGAACTCTAGCTCTGGTTTGCTGTTCCATGCCACTGGACTGCAGGTTTGCTCTATGTCCTTCCTGGGGCACATGGGGTGCCTGGGAGCAGTACCCCGTCTGCTTGCTATTTAACTCTTCTCCTCCAGGATCTCAACTCTTGACACTTTCTCAGGGGAGCCTGCCCTCACCCACCAGTCTGGTCTGATTCCTTTGTCATGGATTCCTTCACAAGCATTTTCTCACCTGTGATCCCTGATCTCAGTTTGTGATTACCGTCCTTAGTCCCGACTATGTCGTTTATGTCGGACACCTCCTAAAAGACTCCTAAGCAGCTATCTTGCCTGCTTATACTCCCTCCTTCCATCCCAGTGTCTGGTACAAGGTAGGCACCGAGTAGATAGTTGGTGAAAATAAATGTTTGCATCAAATTCCAGAAGCATCAACACCTACTATGATTATGAATAGTACCATTGTATTTGTATCCTGTGCTGTTTGACAGCTGAGTCTTCTATCTGTTGAAGAGCATGGTAACGGGATTTTGTACAAATGGGTAAATCAGAACAGGTGGAAACACTCAAAAGCCCCATTAATGCAGTAATTTGGGACCTCTTTTCTTTTCCAGTGACTCTGCTCTACCCCTACCTTCCCTAAAACAAAACCCAGAGTTCGAATTAATGATGGGGTCTGTGTGTGTCTAGCAGGGAGGTAGATGGAGAATCAGGTGAAAGGGTCAGAGTCCCCATTTCCTATCCCTCAAGTGTTTAAGAAACACTAAAGAATTACAGCGTGCGTAGGGCCTCCCCGCACTAAACAAAGAGAGCATCAGAATTATGGTCTCTGACCCGCGTGGGATCATGTGGAGGCCGGGCCATGTCATTGCAGATCTAGGGGGAGAGGTTGAGGGGAAAGGGTATGACCCAGTCTCCCAGGCTCAAGTTGGTGGCATGCCCGTGGTAGTCTTTCTTGCCCCCTCGGGGTGTGTCCGCGGGTGTGTGTGGTGAGATGGGGCTAGGTAGGATCACAAACAGCCTTGGGGGCGTCTCTAACCGGTCACCCTCTGGGGCGGGAGGACAGGGGGCGGCCCTGGCCGGTCCAGCTCGGCCCGTGCAGTGAGCAGGTAGGACAAGCCAGCGGCAGTCGGGCCCGCGGCGGCGCCGGGCAGGCGGGCGGGCGGGCGGGCGGGCACCGGGCAGCGGCTGCGAGGCGCGGCTGCGGGCGGCAGGAGGCAGCGTTGGCCCAGGCGGCGGCCGCGAGCGAGCCGCGCGGTGATGTCAGTGGCGGCCCGGCTGGCAGCAGCCGGTACTTCCTGTATAAAGGCGGGCGGGCTCGACTGCAAGCCCCACTAGCCAGTGTCAGCCTCGCGGCGCAGGAGGCGGCGGCGGAGGAGGAGCAGGGGGAGGGCTGTCAAATTCGGGAGCCAGATTTTCTCCCTTCCCCTGGCAATCCCTTCCGCTTCCCCGGCTCCTGGTGTGACATCTGCGGACCGGGACCTGCATGTGTGTGAGCGCCAAGCAGCGGAAGAATGGCAGTGCTCAAACTCACCGACCAGGTAGGGGGCGGCGGCGCGGCGGGCGGGACGGCGCGGGGCGCGGAGCCGGCGGGGGGATGGGGGCGCGGCGCGGCGCTGTTTACTCGCGGCGAAGGGGAGGAGTGTGTGCGGCCGCCGGCGGCTCCGAAAGCTGGGGCTGCGGTTCTCTCCTGCGCAGTTCCCGCCCTGGGCCGTCGGAACTGCGCTCGGGTTGGGGAAGGGGCTGGGGGCGCCAGGCGCAGCCGGGGAGCTGCAGTGTGGTTGTGTGCGCGTGTGTGTTGTCTCTGGACCCGGGGTGGGCAGGGGGATGGGAGATTCGAGGTGCTTCTCTGGCTCCTGGTGTGCTGCGCAGTGTGGGCTCCCAGCTGGTGCCGGCCGAGGGCAGGCGTCCGCGCCGCTGGAAGGAGAACGTTGGATGGAGGAGGAGAAAGAATCGCAGCCTGGGACCCTTCCCCAGCCAAGCCGGAGACCGGCCCAGACCGCAGCTCTTGCATGGTTGGCTGTCTTTATCCGTTTGACATGACATCCTGACTTCCTCTTTAGTAGCCCAGAGGCTGTGTATGTGTGGTGCGCGATGGGGACCCTTGGAGATGGTGCTCTGGGCTCTGGCCGATCTCCCCAGGGAGGTGAAGTCCAGCCAGGGGCTCCACTCACAGGAGGTGGGCTCCCTACCCTCTGCTTGTGTCCATCAGCTTTGTTGCTTTTCTTGCTGAGACACCACACAGGGCAGCTCTAGAGTTCTGGTTTGGAAAGGTGAGGTTCTTTGCTGAATCGGTTGACAGCCCTTGCTGTAGGTCTGTGGAATGGAAATATCTGACCTTAGCAGACTCTGCTACTCTTAGGACATTGACACTCATGGGCATCCAGCCAAAGTTACCTGACAAAACTCTGCAGGTCTTTCCACGAAAAAAAGAAACAGGTTGCTTCCCGCCCCACCCTGTCTCACTCTTTATTCATGGATAGTTAATGAACACTGTTTTGGGGTCCTGGTAGTCCCAGAGGCAATCCTGACTTTGATACACGTGGTCAAACATGCCTGTCCTTGGTTTCAGATATCTCGGACGTCTTGAGTGAGTTGCATATGGTGCCTGGCGATCCCCAGTTAGTATCCAGCCAGACCATCCTGCGACTCAAATACAGTCAATCACCACAATGATTTGCTCCCCTGCCTTTTAGAGTCATAGCTTTGGTTTGCTCTCCTTAAGTATTTTCAGACCTCTCTCCACCCCCGTGGTAGGAAAGGGATCACTGAATTAAAATTCACAATATTGTTAAATTTAGCAGGAGGAGCAGCTGGTATTTGTGATGAATCTACTTGTTCCCATTGGTTCCAGAGCATTTAAAAGTGTTTGTAAGTTGATATTAGGATTTCCCCCACCGTTTTTGGTCACATACTTCGACAACTGTTAGACATTTGCTTGTTTTAAATCTTCCAGTTTTAGTCTGACTTGGTCTTGTCATCTTTGCCAGTATATGTTACTTACTGAATTTGTCTGTTATTACTAACTCTTCACAGTACAAAAAAATACTTCTAATACTCATTGTTGTTATTATCACATACACAAAAGAATTCACATAGAATTGTAAGGGACCCTAAAGACCATCTTAGCCCAAATCCTTCACCTTTTAAATGAAGAAACTGAGCCCTGGCTGGTTTGGCTCAGTGGTTGGAGCGTCGGCCTGCGGACCAGAGAGTCCTGGGTTTGGTTCCCACTAAGGGCATGTACCAAAACCAAAACAAAAAATAAATAAATGAAGAAACTGAGATCTGGAGAAGTGAAGCCTGTCTTCCTCAAGGACCACAGCTCTTGGCCTGTTGGGTGAAGACTAGCCCCCGTCTTCTGCCTTCCAGGCTCTTGTGCTTTCTGCTAGAGGTTAAGACACCTCTGTCTTGTCATTGGATGTGTTGAAAGGGTTGCAAGAAGGCATCTTCTTCTAAATCAGTATAACACTAGCGAAAAGTATATTACTTGGTCTTACAAGAAAGAAAGTTATTTATTCTTTAGGACTCAAAGAGTAGGATTTTCAAAGATGTTTTTCTTTTAAAACATTTCTGAATACCTACCTCCCTTCTCCCAACAAAGTAGTATTACTATGGAGAGAAAGAAAGAGTTGTGTAACCTTCATTTGCTTCCATTGCCTGATGTATAAAAAGATTGGAGTTCTATGATTCAAGATCACCTTTAACTTGCCAGCCTATTTTGGGGGCAAAGCCAGAGGAAGCCTGGCTGAGGAGGTATTCTGAGTGGGGTGGAGTGGAGTGGTGGGTAACCATGGTTTCTGTGTGGCTTTAGGTCCAGGAAGTGTGTGGTCTTTCTTGCCTTATATAGTCTAACCTTTCTGTTTGAAACTCTAAATTCTTAGAAGCGGGTTCTTAACCTCACCAGAGACTTAAAAACCCCTTGCTTAAACCCCTCCTACATGAGATTTGCTCCATCACTGTGGGTAGGGAGCCAGCTGCTTGTAATCCCTGCCTTACAGTTTGTAGAAGACTGACTGCCTAGCTCTCCGTTCAGCAATTTGTAAAACAATCATTTCTTAATTCTTCCCTCATCTGTTTAATGCTCTATTTGTGTGATGACTCTTTATTTTTGCCAAGGCTGTGGATTTTTAGCTTGAGGACACATTCTTGCTCTTGATAACCCAGATCACAAGTCTTGGTTTGTCTTTAAATGTGCCTGAAGTAGGAATGAAAGAAGATGACATTTCCTGTCTTTCTGAAGCTGAGTGCAGGGTCTTCAACCGTCAGTCCTGCACCCACATCCCAGTCAGAGAAGAGGAGGAAAACGCCTTTCTTCACTCTTGAGAAGAAAAAAAGGGGGGAGGGGGAGGGAGAGGCAAGTGTGGTTTTCAGTTTGTTGTGTGTGCGTGTTTTTTTTTTTTTTTTTTACTATGAGAAGGAAGCTATTGCTACAAACTTGGCATTTAGCAGTTCTACATTTGTAACTGTGTCTCTTCTGTTTCCCTCTTCACACAACACACATCATTTTCCTTGCAGCAGTGGGGGCCAACCATCCTGGTTTGCCAAGGACTGAGGTTTTTCGCAGGATATGGGACTGTTGGTGCTAAAGTAAACCAGGATGAGTTGGTCACCTTATGTAGCATAGAACACACTCATCTATGTAATGAATCTAGTCATGTAGTTATTTTCTCCAAATGGACATTAGGAGGTGTACTTATATCTTTGATTTTAAAAAAATGAGGTAATTTTAAGTTTGGGAAAGAAAATTCTGTTACCTACAAATGTAATGCATTTTGGCTCAAGATAGCCATAAAACTCTGTAGTTTGATTTGCTGTTGACCTTTTGGGGGCTGCTGTTTATGTCACATAATTAAGACACTGCAGTGATTTTAAGGGTGAAGTCATGTCTTCGGTTTGGACCTCCTAAAACGGTGTCAAAGTTTTGAAGCCAGAATGGAAAATTCTCTTGGACCTTTGAAATGTTCACTCCGTATTCTTATCTGAATTTGCTGGTGACAGCGGAATGCCACCTCCATCTTCAGGGTTGCCTGTAGACGGCCTGTTTCAGCAGGTGGCCCGTTTTGGAGCTTCCTGCCTGGAGGCCTTCTGGTTTGGTGTCCCCTTGCCAAGTCCTAGTTCACACTTGAGTCACTCATCTCCTTGCCAAAGGCGGTGGCTGGCAGCTGTGGCAGTAGTAAGAATCTAGAAATCCTATAACTTTGAAAGCAGGATTTCTGGCCCACAGTGTGGGGCCTTGGGACCTGTTGGTGATTTTATTGGGCTGCCCTCATCCTCCACGGCTCCCCAGAGCACGGGGCTTACAGCAGACACTGTGCTCAGGCCTGCCTTCAGCAGAGAAGAAGGAGAAAGAAAGGCTTCATTCTTCGGACCGTTCTCTAGTTGTTTGGGGATCCAGTCACGTGGTTTGGGGAGTGCACTTTGAGGGCTGGTGTTTCATGGCAGAGACCTAAGAATGGCTTACATTTATCTTGATCTTATTGTATGCTGGGCCCTTGCTGTGAATCATCTCTCTTAATCCTCACAGCCACTGTAGTGTGATTCCTATTTTATAGGTGAGAAAACAGTAATAGAGAGGCTAATTGACTTGTTCAAGGTCACACACCCAGTACGTGATCTCTCAAGGTGTCCACCTACCCTGGCAGTCTTGATTGCATAGGTGGGGCTCTAACCACAAGGCTATACTTTTCACAGTTGAAAGGGCAGTGCAGCCAGAGGACTCACGGGTGCCTGCTGTAGTTTATGGGAGCCACTGGTGAGCTGGACCCTGCGCTCCTCGGAGCTCTGGGCCAGCCCAGGTCTGTGAGAGTCAAGGCCTCTGCTCCTCCCAGACTTGTGCCCGGCTTATCCTGTTAGCCTCTCCCCCTCCCCAGGCTGCTGAACCAGGTGTCAGTTGGTAACTTGGTTTTTTTTTCTTGGTCATTAACATATAGGCTTATTACAGAAGAATCAGAAAGCTAGATAAACAGAAAGAAAAACAGTCCAAACCATCTGAAGTCTCTGTAGTCAGAGAGGATGACTCTTGACATCTTGATATATTTTTTTCTAGTCTTCAGTCTGTGTAACCAGGTAAAATTTCAGACTTTATGCACGATGATAGCAGTGTCTTTCTGTTGAGCACAGAGCCGCTATCTACGCTGTCTGGACCAGTGACTTCTCCAAATGAGCGGAATTTACGCTTCTCTGAAAGAAGCAGTCGGCTGCTCTGGGGCAAGCCCGGTGGCAGCACACAGTCTAGCCCTGGACTGACTGAAACTTTAAAAAACTTTTTTAACTGTAACTTCCTCTTTTCCTCTAAACAGAGAGTAAATATAAACTCAAAAAGGCACAGTTGTTTGTGCCAGAAACAGGACTGAATCTTTACAAAGATTTCACTTTCAACAATACAATGTGAACTTTTATGGACTAAAGCATAACATGAACTAGTTTAAATGTAGGCAGGAGCTATGGAGAGCTGATAGCCCTGTGGTTTCACACTTGTGGAAGCTATGGCTCTCCTTTTTTGTCTTCCCCAGAGAACATCCCATATCAAACGAAGCTC